GCTGTGAGGACGCACTGTGGGAAAAGAAACCACTTACATCTTACAGTTGATCCTATTAGTACAAACAATGGGAATTTTCCAAGACAATGAAGACACAAAAAAAAAAACGGCTCGGAAGATCAGCAGTGCGTCAGGGTTTGAAATGACATGACAGCTTTAAAGGCGCCAGTTTTCGTCGTTCGGATTTTTTAAAATCTGAGAAACATATAGCTTCATTGAAAGCAGGAAGTGTAGATTCAATCCTCTACTCAATGGTGACATCAGCTGTTGAGCGTCATTGCCATGTTGTCATCTATAATGCGGAGACACCAAGAGGTCATCCAGGGTGACAGAGACACACGACAACACAAAGGCTTCTCACTCTGACAGAAAGCCAAGTCCTAAGAACCAATCTGAGATAGAGTGTCTCTTTTTTGTCTTGACTCTGTCATCTCAGAGTGAAACTTGAACCGAGTGGAACGAAGCAATCCAACTCAACACTTCAGTCAAACAACCTATGCAATGCAGATATTTACTGAGAATTCAGGGCTTTAAAGTTGTTTCTTCTTCAGTTACAGAAAGCTACTCTCTGTTTTTTTTTGTGAACTTTCAATGTCAAACTTTATTTATTGTCATGAATGTAAGTTTGAAAGTGGGATTACTCATCTTTAAAAATATAACTGCACTGATCTAAGTGTGTGTGGATGTTTATCAAACAACACAGTAAGATATATAACTTGCTAGACAAATAGCAATGTAGCTAGCTATATCTACAGCTAGCTAGCTAGTTTAAACTACCAGCTAAGTAGAAGCTGGTAGTTTAAACCCCTTCACTTTCCAAGAAGTTTGCAATATTCTAACCTTCTAGTCAGATAGATCGGTGTGTTGCAGACAGAGTAGGCTAGTAGTGCTAAAAGCCAGGTGGCTTGCAAGCGGAAAAGTTAATACCTGAAAATATTCTCTGTGTTGTGTTCATTTACCCAAACGTCTTATTTTAGCTTGATTGTTCTCAGAATTAAGTACATTATGTGGGGCAAAGGATCCTCTCTGCCCTATAGCCCAGATTCTTTGTTAGTAATCAGGCCGGTCTTTCTTTACTTTCTCCTGTGGCTAATAAACTTATTATTGACAAATAACTCATACGACCACATCTCAAAAATACTTTACTATCCCTTTAACCTCAATTAGCATAACGTGAATAATTGTTAATACATGACCTTGTCCTATAGCAAAAGTAAAAACATTGTGGGGGGAAAAAGAGAGTTTGTCAAAGCTAAAATGTTATCAATGGTCCTCAATGTTAAGAGGATATATTTTCCAGTAAGTTGTGATTCCAGATGCTACATTGCTATTTTACCTTCAATTTCAAATTAACATATCTTTTTAATCCCGAATCAAATAGCATCACGTAAAAGCTGGTAGTTTAAACCCCTTCACTTTCCAAGAAGTTAGCCATACTCTAACCTTCAAACAGGATAGCATGCAGGGGATTCTCTGGTATTGTGTTTTTCTCCTTTGCCATCGTGCTAACGTTGGCTGCATTTGCACTTGTTTAGAGGTTGCACATGTCAAAACAGTTTTAACGTGATACTGTCAAACGGGCAAAAACTGTCTGATGTGTTCATTTTCTGCATGAGAACAGAGGACGGCTTTCTCTCGCCGTCTCTCCAGCATATAGATATTCAGCTGCCTCCCTGGGTGGGCGTCTTGGTCTTGATCAACATTCCTGCCGGGGTTCAAGGATATCTCCCGTGTTTGTGTCCCACAGCTCTGTTGCATGGCCCCTATTGTCCCCCCTGTGCTTGGCCTCGACCTTCCAGCCGCAGGAACAAATCCAAGACTCTTCTGGACACGAGGGCACAAGCAGCGTGGTCAGCCCACTCTCCGAATTCCTGTCCCCTGCCCCTCTCTCTCCTGCAGGCCTGTGGGTGCTGCGCTGAGGCCCGGCCCTGCAGGACAAACAGACGCAGCTCTGTATGCAAAGCAGGGTGGACAAACATGTCTCCCCCTGAGTTTATAAGTGTTTATAGAGGAAGCTGGTCGGCCATGTTGGCTCATAGACTTTAATGTAATGGGGGCTCATGTTTAGATGAAATTTCACCCACTTTCATATTCAGGATTCCTCAGCTGATGAGTTCAAATACAGGCCTCGAGTTTCAACGTTTATTCGAGGAATCATCGTGTCTTTCCGTGCTGGACTTGGCGCCACATGAGATAGCCAAAAGATGAAACATTCGGTGGTAGTGAATGTTTCAAAAGGACTCTTGAATTTTAAGCATCTCCTCCTTATGGTTGTTTGAAGTATACTGTGAGGAAGTAGAATTACATGTCGCATTGATACAAACGTAAAAACTCTCCTCATTGCGTCACACTTTGTTGCTTCGTTGGAATCTTGAATATGTTGAAAACCTTACACCCTGACTTCTACAGCGTCCTTCTTACACCTTGTCTGTAAAACAATGATATGACAAAGCGCATGTGCACGCCAAGTCTACATGGATGTATGACCTCACTGACATTTCTCACATGTTGTTGGTTTCTTCAATAAACAAAAAAGGGTCTTCCTCTGGAGGTGGAAAAGGTACAGTCCTGATACATCCAGCTGCAGTGATTTTGTGCAGACATCAGCAGGGGGGAGGGGGATGAAGAAGAAAGAATCATGATTAGTGATCATGATCAACCATTATCCTGTAATGATACTCAGTGGTCCTACAGCATGACAGAGGAGGGACTGCTCCTGTTCACAGCGTATCCGTAAATGATATTTCATCCAACCACAGCATGACATTTTCTGTTTTCTAGCTCATGTCCATGTTTAGCACATACTGTACCGCTGTGAATGTCCATGAATGCAAAAGCAGGTTAATTATTATTCATTATATATGTTATATCATGCAGCCGCATCCATATTGCTTCCAAAGATAAGTGGACCCTGTCTGCTGGGAATCAAATCCATACAGCATCATCACTTTATTTTACTCTCATCTTCTTTGCTTTCTTTGTGAGTGAAAAAATAGATTTTTTCCCCTGATGAATGTAATTTCACATCTTTTTCCATGAAGTAATTGCAGCACATGTATCTGGTTCAGTATATTTTAAACTATATGTCCCGTCAGTCAAAACCTAAAATCTCAAATTTCAGGTTGCTGCAAATTCAAGGTCCTCTTATCTCATCCTCAGCTTCACAGGATCGATGCTCCTCCACCTCTGAGTGATCTTCCCCAGCTGCCATTTACATACATCTCCTGTCTGAGTCCTTCAGTTTAACAGAAATTATCTTTTTTTTTTTCCTATCTCAAAGTAGCTTTCTGACTGTAAATAAAAAGCGTCAACAAAAACGCATCTGTTCTGAAATATTAATATTCTGATGCTGCATGGGTGTTTTCTAACACAACTTACCCCTCAACAGATCCGGCTTTGTTCTCTGACGGCTGCAGCTACTGCCCATGAAACAACTCGGCCATGACTCGTTGTGAAGTGATTCAAAGGCAAATGTCGTCAGAATTTTCACAGCCACACATTCACGGATCTATGAAATCATACAGCAAAGACTTATTATAACAGAAGCCTATAACCAAGTGTCCGAACATTTGTGCTTGTATCACGTTGTCTTCATCAACGCATGAGTTTGCAGGTGTCCAAACTTCTGAGCACATTGTGCACATATTAGCATACATGTTCATCTTCAAAGAAGCACATTAAAAAACAATAGTTCACCATTTCTGCAAGTTTAAAGGGTTATGAATTGATACTTTGGGTTGGCCCCTAATTTCCATCTGGACAGTTGGATTTTTCTCAACTGGAAGGGCAAACCTAGGGGACATCTTCTCCTGATTTCTTTGCTGAAATGGCACCATGAAGGAGCACTAATTGCATGTTCCTCACTGAAAGGGAACCCTGAAGTGCCCTTCATCAGGATTTCCACACTTAAGATGCACCACAGAAGCTTAGTCCCTTTTTCCACTGAAGTGAACCCCTTATACATGATCAAGTTTTCTACACTGGAGTGGCACTCTGGAGGGCAACATCTCTGTTTTTCCTTATCCTACTTTCTCCACCAAAAGACCATCCATAAGGACACCTGGCAACATTATCTTGTTTTCTTCTACAGAAAGGACACTCTTTTCCAGTTTTCTCCACTGGAAGTGCTTGAGGTGCCAGTTATTTCACAACTGGAAAGAGACCCTGTAGTGTACTTTGACCTCTAGGGGCACATGTGATGGTTTTCTCCTCTTGAAGAACGCTCATTTAATCGTCCTTTGATTTTAACTTTTGTCTTGTTTTCTTAGTGAAAGTTATCCCTGGAGAACCCTTTGTCCATTTCCTCTCCACATTAAGTGAACCTTCCAGGTCAGCTGCTTTTTTTTGTCCACTGGAAGGGCATCCTGTTTGTTGCATTTTCTCTACTAGCCGCACCTTATTTTCTCCATTAGAGATGCACCATATAGAGTGAAATTAGTCATGTTTGATCCATTATCAAACTTTAGAGTACAACTTTAAACGCACCGTTTCTCAATAAGTGCAAGTTGTGCGTCTACCTGTTTGTTTTCTTAGTTTCTTTTTACCATATAAAGGGATCAGCTCTAAAGATGCAGAGTCACCAGGGGTTAAGTTTATTAGTCTGCAGAAACAGATTCTCGGTTTAGTTTTCCAACAAGCGTTTCCTTTCTTCTGGGCCCCTCCATATGGTAATCTGGGTGACTGTACTTCCAATTTAAACACAATCCATTAAGAAAATATATGAGGCCGATTCAACAATGGCCTCACAGTGCGGCGGGGCTGCTTTGCATCAGGGTGTGAGTGCAGACTCAGAGATAACCCTTGTTGTCCCTGCGGCCGGGGTGAAGCAGATGGGTAGAGGAACAATGGGCCGGCCCATGCGGAGGGCGGCAGTGACTGACACAGCCACTGAAGATAGAAAGAATGCCTGGAGCCGAGCCAGATCCATAGATCCAAGGACCTCACTGCCCCCCCCCTTCCCCCCCCCTTCCCCCCCAACCATTCTCATGTCCCATGGTGCCCTGGGACCAAGGGTGCAACACCTTCAAAGTCGGCCCCTGTGCGTCAGTCAGAAGAGCTGCAAACTGCCCTGAAGGAGAAGCGGAGTCTAGTGTAGGCACTGTGGACTGGGACTGACTTTGAGGGAGGATTTACAAAGTAGTTAGTAAAAGGTCAACTCCACCCCAACATCGGCAACTACTAGCATGGCTACAGCAGGCACCTCAGGGCAGAGCACTTTCGGGCTCGGGAGGAAAAAGAAGGCTCCGGGTCTCATGGATCAGATTAGCAAGTTCTTTGGAGGCGACAAAAAGAAAAGGAGCAAGGTGAGCATCACTTCATCTCATTTTCACAAGTCTTAATGCGTCTTAAAACTGAAATGAAGTCAGGAAGAAATCTAATCTTTTATTCCCTCATTTTACCGCGAAACTGTGATGTGTTGTACTTTGATTGATTGGAAAAAATCCTAGGAAATTCTAGTTTTAGTCAGTGAGGCTTAAGAAAGACTAGTGAATTGTAGTCCCTCCATTTAAAATTACTTAACGGCTCGATTTACTTGTCCTGTGACAACCATGTATCTGCAAAAGATCGGCTGTTTATGAACTTTGACCACATTTTTTAGCTTTTTGACTTTGTAGATTTTATGATCGTCCACCGTGTCAAAGCTGTGATTAAGTTAAAGATCCAGGAGAACGTTTTAAACCAATTAAATGGCATCAAGACAAAATGTATGTCACCAATATTGGAGGCACATGTGTTTGATTGCAGTGGTAAACCTGTTTCTGTCATATTGTTGGGATTAAACTTTAAGAGATGAGTGACGGGTTGAAAGAGAAAAATCTACATTTCTCAGTTTGGCTTTTTGACTGGAGAGCACTGAGTCTCTTTATCCCAAGCAGACACTCCTTAATCCTGACCAGGCCGCAATTATCTGAGCCTTGGCCTGTTTTTTTAAAGCCCTTTATAAAGCAAAATTCATCCTCACCTTCTGTGATCCAGATGGAAAATTGGTTCTTAGAAGTCTTTTTCCTGGATAGAATTTGAAAACCTTGGCTTTCTCTTTATTTTTTAGATTTATTTTGGGGCTTTTTATGTCTTTATTGTAGAGCAAGGACATGGATATAGAGTCGGAAATCTGGGACAGAGAGAGAGAGAGAGAGAGTTGGGTAAGATGCGGGTAAGATGCCGCAGGTCGGATTTGTACCCGGGCCGTCCACTTCTGTACATGGGGCGTGCAAAATAACCATTAGGCCCTGTTGATTTTTATCTTTATCCTTTATTACTGCTGCAAAAAATACCATAATTTCACTATTTTCTGAGTATAAGCCTGAGTGTTCTCATTGAATTAGCACCAGATCTTTTCTAAACTGAAGGAATGATTCAGGTCTTTACGCAAAACTTTTCCATCTATGTTCAGTTTTTCAAAATTTTCTTTAATACATATCTTCTTTTGCCTGCACCATTATGTCGAACCTGTTTAGTTTGAGGACGAATGATTATTACCCAAAAATATGTTTTTCAGCTAAGCCGTTATGGTAGCTGCTCCTCGTCTTTTGTTGCAGGTACATTTAGTTTGTAATATCAGCCTGGTTCTGACGTGCGGATAGAAAATCTCAGACAAAAACTTCTTTTAAGTTCAATATTCAGAGCAGGTTCTGATGGGGAGGGGGCCCCAGGAGCCCGAGCTGCTTTCATACATACGGACCCCCTTTCATCTGACCATCCAAGCATGTTTTTCTTTTGAGTACGTGCGGCATGAAGACATTTGAAAAAACGTTTACACTAAGATCTTTTCCTTCAGGCTCTGTAAAAAAATATATCTTTATATTTCCATGGCACTTTTTGAAGGAGTTATGTTACAGAAAATACACAATAATGCTGAAAATCAGACACCAGCGTGTTTCTCTGTTGACAGGCAGCGGGATGAATCACACTGAATGACAATGTGCGTCAGCTCTCAAACTTGGCTTTGACTACTCATCACAATTTACTCTCTAGTATAAATCTGTTTCTTTTTGAAGAGCTTTAACTGCCTTTAATTCATAAAGTTTGCAGATTGTCATCATGGACCTACTTTTAGTCCTTTCTTTTTTCTCTCGGTCTTTGAGAAACTTCAGACTCTGCAGGTTGTTAAAATCATTAGGTTAGGAGTATAGCTTTGCAGCATGGACTAACGTTCAGGAAATAATTTATGCATTTTCAAGCATGTAGTGGACTATTTCATTCTGTATACACTGCATGTAAAGATTTACCTATGGCATGCAGATTAAGGGGATATAAATCTAGATGGATCTCAAAGTAGCAGTGCTTGATTTTTGTTGTTCACCATACGATAGAAAAACACAAACAAAGTCATCTAACCTCTGTTGATCCTCACAGGGGTCTTTCCGGGGTCACCTGGCATCTTCACCCCAGCAATCCTCGTCTCGCCGCCGCACCAATGAAAACGCCGTGGTGCACTTCTTCAGGAGCATTGTAAGTTGAATGAAACAGTGTCATATTGTTCACTTAACACTATAAATCACATGCATATTTCATACCTCTAATCGTGCACATTAAACCCATTTTTTGTTGCTAACATCTTGAGTTTTATTCAAATGTCTTCAGACTGTTTTTTGAGCTCAACAAATGTATTATCCTGCCATGAGATGCACAAATCAGAACACGTAACAAACCAATTTCCTCCAATTTACACACTATGTTTGCTTTGATTTACTTTGGCAGCATTTCAAACACAGCACGCTCAGCTCTCTCTCTCTCTTTCCCTCTCTGATTACAAAGCTGCGTGGCTCCTTTATTTACATACTGATAAAATAAAAAGAAGGAACTGCGGGGAAGCTCACTTGTTTGTTTATCTCAGAAGTTTGTTGATCTGTTTCTCCTGCAATCAGTCACTCTGTTGTTGTTGTTGTTTGTCGCTTGGTGTTTCTCAGGTTTCCTCTCCTCGTCCTAAATCCAGGGTGAGTCTCATTTTCTCACAATTTGTTTTATTGACTGATCCTGATGTGTAGACGCATACTGAGGATGAAATGATTTGAATTCAAAATGTCTTCTGATTATCTCCTATGAAGGGTTCTCCTGATTGAAACTCATTTTTCTCCATCATGTTTCTCAGTATTGGAATTCAACACCCACATTTATTTACTGATAGTCTTTAGACTTTAATGCATATCCTCTGGGGTTCCAGTGGAAACATTTGGGATTGTTTCCCCAGCGTTAGCATCACAATCACAGGAGATGCTGTGCCAGACAATGACATATTACACAATCCCCCTCCCCCGCTGATACCATCAAGTTTAAATAAATAAAAAGGTACACTATCTTAATAATTTAAACTTTCACATAAACACTCAGTAAGTTTTAGATTGAACAGTTACTCTTTTGTTGGGTTAGCATGCTTACTGTCAGTATTAGCCATTGACTGTATATAAATATGGACATTGAGTCTTACTCTCCTTCCGTTTAACAAAATTGAAAGAAAAAAAAAATTAAACAAATTTTACTTTTGACATAATTTGGCTGGTGAAGCCGCAGAAATGACATCACGCCCCTTCAGCCACCAAAAACACAAATTAATCTCATCGATAAAACATCAAAGATCCCTCAGGTCAGTACAGTCTACAGCAGAACAGATTTGTGTGTTGTTTTCTGACAGTTATGGGAAGTCTAATGACTCTTCTGTGATTCATAATTTTCCCTCTGAATGTTCCTCCTCTACTTAGACTATCTGGTAAATAACGTCGCAGGAGCCGCATATGTCGACACATTACGTTACATTCGCTCCTTTTAGAGTTTCAAGTCAAACCTTTTTAAATCCTTAAAAAGATAAAAACTTGGACATAAATCAGCATGTTAATGACTAGCGTAATGGACAAAATCCAGGTTTGAAAAACATTTATTTGAGTTGTATAATCATTTTAAAGTTTGACACATGTTTCATCTGGTAACATGGAGGAGTCAGGGGTATAACCAACATCACAGCCGGTCAGTAGGGGGAGCTTCACATCCAGGGGGTTGCTGTTTCATCCATCTTTTTTTACATTCTGATTACATGCTGTGCTAGTTATCAGCAGGTTTAATGCAAGTTCAACTTAGTTGTTTGTTTTACATGTTAACACAAACTGATTTGAATGTTAATATTTAAGTAAGCACATGCGGCAGAAATTGAAATTTGATCTGATAATTCCTCTTAAAGAAATTCAGGGGATCACCAAAGTCATTTAAAAAACATTTTTACTCAAACCCGGTTACGTCATGACAGTTCTTATCAAGCCATTTTGTGTTCGAGTCATCTTTAATTCTAAGCAGTGTTCTTTTTTTAATTAATTATTTAATGCTATAAAATGGTATAAAAGGCCATCATTGACAGTTCTGTTGGCCAATCTGGTGCAGCGTGGACCGGACTAGTGGAGTGCAGCAGAAACGTCAAAAGAAAACATACCAAAAACAAACACAAGAGTCGTTGAATTTCTATAACCGGGAGTGTCTCCTTCAAATCAACATAAGAATCTTTTCCGCTGTGGACTGCACCAAACTGAGGGATATTTGTCGTTTTATCGGTTAGTTTAATTTGTGTTTTCATCAACACAAGCGCCATGAAGCACTGCAATATTCTGGCTTCATCTTGTCCAACAGACGGAGGAGGCAGAGTCAAGCTGTTCATTTGTATACACAGTCTACGGTCCACAGAGTAAAAACAAATTACAAAATAAGTATCATCCTATAGAGATGAATGTTTGAAACAAAAAAAAGATTCCCACCTCTACGCCCCTTTATCGCGACATCACCCATGTGACACCTGACTGATTCTCAGATGAATTGAGGGATGCTGATGCCTCTACACTTTCTCATCTCATCACATCAATGTCTGTTTCTTTTTCATGTCCAGTGGAGAGACGTCTTGGGCTTGGTACGTCACATGAAATCAAACAAAAGCACCCGTGCTGATTGCATCCCCACTCTGTGTGTGTGTGTTGGTGTGTTGGTGTGCAATGATCCCCTTTCTGTCTGCAGAGAGCTCCTCTGCAACGTGTCCTTTGTCTGCAGCAGCCCACCTGTTTCCTAACCGTCACGTTCACTCTTGTCTCTTTCTCACCGTGTACTTCACCGCTTTTTTGTCCTTGAAGAGAAACATTGTTTTATACCACAGCATGTGGAACAGAGAGATACTGAAATGAGAGCAAATTCACCAGCGTTTACATTCAGTACCTGCAGCTTAGAAATAATTTTCCTTTCAATCCCTGGTTGATAAGTGGAAGATATAAATATATTCATTGTTGAAAACTACAATTATTTGGTTAATTTTATGGTTTTATTTCAATCCCCTCCTTCTTTGCTTCAATCCAGAGCGACTCACTGCTTCTGGATGACTTTGAAACAGCTCGACTATTTATGAACCACAACCGGTAAACATTTTCTCTTAGGACCTCCTGGCCTGCATCACCCCTCTTCTTCTCTTCCACTTTGCTTCTTCCTCTGTAACACCTTCATCCCCCTTTGTGCCAGAGATGACTCACCGATCACTCTGTTTTTGGCTTCCCACCTCCTTTGTGTCCTTCCTTCATCTGTCTGGTGACTGTGGACAGCTGTATGAGTGTGAACTGACAGTGATGATACACCTGTGTCACTTCACCGCGGACCTTCCCCCCATCCTTGTCATCCTTTTTTTCTCTCCCTTGAGAAGGTTGCTGTCATCTGTGTCTGATCCTGTCACAAGTCAATGTCCTTCTCCACGGCTCAGCTGCTTATTCTCTTTACAAAAAAAACATCAAAAGACAAAAAAATCTCTTCTGCATCACACAGCTGCTGTTGCAGAGACAACCCATACCTGCAGTTTTGACTATTTCCCCTCAGCCCTTTGGTTATTTATTGAAGTAATTTTATGTCTTACACTCTTTTAGATCGTGTTATAACTTCTTAAAGTTGTGTTCTCACAAATACCTGACATCAGCCCACATTTAGGATGCACAAGGGAAATTCCGCTCGAGGAAAAGCACTTTGAAAACTCATTGAAATCACAGATCCAGTAGACACAAAAGGTCAATCCATGTGCAATTAAATAAGAGTGATGGTAAACAAGGCATGTAGTGCTGCAGAGTGCTAAAGTTTGGGCTCTAAAAATAAATTAAGCATTCTTTTCTAATGTTTGAATAATGTATAAGGTGTATAGATGTGGTTTTTTTTGGTCCAACAACAGCAGCAACAGTGCCCTCTGCAAGGATAAATTGTTTCACATTTGGCATTTTGTAAAAGTGATCCCACTGTGATGCTCTGAGGTTAAATGTGTCTCGTCTCGTAAAGACAGATCCATCGATGTAAAATGAATTAAACCTTAAAGGTTATACAGTGACAAAGCAGCAAACTGGTCTCCATGTGAGCTCATGGAGCATTTTGTTCTAGGCCTCGTCCCCGCGCCCCGAAAGCGCAAAGTCGCCGGTCAGAAGACGCAAAGACCAAAGCACACTGTCCAGACTCTTCAACCTGGTGAGCTTGACACACGTTTGCCTCCTTTTTAAAGTTTCCCCTTTTCTACTTGTTCAACTGTAGGCCTCATAAGCACTTGTTTCCTGTCTGTTTGCCCAAATGCAACAGTGACGCTCTCCTCAGAGATCAGTGAGTAGTGAATACATAAAGTATAATAACAGTTCAACCATTTCAGTTGGAATATTTTTCACACATCTTTCATCTTCACGCTTTCACAGCCAACAGCTGTCGTCACATCATAATAACTAACTAGCTTAAAGTTCCCATGAAACAGCGAGCAGAGAGCTACAAGGATCATGTCGGCTAGCTGTTTTTAACTTAATCATTTTCCTTTTATCGTTTCTTGAATGATAAGCAACTAAAAAGACAATGGACAGAAAAAATTTAGCCAAATTCTAAGAAGAAAAAAATTAATATTTGACAACCCATTAGCTAGCATCAGACAACGACTTCAGTTAGCATTACACCCTTGGCTAATGATACTGTTAGCGAGGAAGCTACGTGTCTGCGTAGGTGCTCCGAGTCATGGTATTTCAAATCCCAAAGGCAACCAGACGTGTTTAAGGTCTTGAAAACGTTTCCCCTCTCCTCCTGTGAGGTGTGTGTGAGTGAACAACCAGATCAGACGGATTTTGAAAAGCTATCGTTGAAAGCTATTGTCTAAAAGTAGCTAGTGGGTTATCAAATGTGTTGTTTAACTTGAACTTTGGCCCTGTTTCCCTCCAGATTTTCATTAACTGTCAATGTAGTTTCTTATCAATCCAGAACCAATAAATTGATAACCACTACATTTGCTTTGTTTATTCTGCAAACAGCAAGGAACTCAGCAGTAAACGACCCTGAGTGTGATGTCAGAGGAACATGGCCGCTATCTGAATTTAAGTTAAAGTGCTGAATGTGAGATCACTTAAAAGAAGACGCAATGACCCATAACAGCTATAGCTAGCTCATTGGTGCTGTGCTGTCATGGGGGAAAGACATTTTAAACGAGCCTTTTAATCAGACGGAAAATTAGTGCATGTCACGCCCTTCGAGAGCAGGATGAGTCATCACATTGTTTCCAGTAAACAACAAACTGAAAGAGGTTAAAAATGACTTTTTGGTCATTGTTTGTCCAGATTCTAATAACCAGCTCAAGACATTATGTAATCTGGAAACTGGCTTTTAGTCCTTAATTCATGGGAACTTTAAGAGCGACATTTTCATTTTTACAGTTGTGATAAACTGTAAACCTGAATCTTACATTTACCCGTTCATTGGTGACTTTCTATAAACAGCATCTACCTGTAATTCTGAGGATTTATTTTCAATATTGTCGATCTCTTTGAAACCTACATATGAAGTCTTTGACAATCAAATCTTCCATGAACTCCAAGCACTGAAAACTACATAACTTCGTATTCACTCCCAAACAAACGTAAGCGATCACTGGGGGACAAAGAAAACATTTATGTACAGTAAAGTCATTGTCCTCTTTCTTCACTCCAGGGAGACACCAAGTCCCGCCCACCCCCTAAACGCTGGAGCACCATCTTCTGAGCTCTCCGCCGAGGACCAAACCACAGATCCAACACCGATGGGACAAGAGGAAGAAGAAGAAGGAGGAGGAGGAGGAGGAGGAGGAACAGATCTGCAAGTGGTGGACTCACAACCTCAAGAAATGTTAACAAACTAACACAAGCCTCCCTCAAGTTTAGACAGTAACGACACACCTGAAATCTATTGTCAAAAGTTGTAGGTGGTCACTTTGCAAGTTTTCTTTTTAATCCTACTTCTCAGCGTATCTTGTCTCAGTCCATATGCCGCTGTTTAGAAGACATCTGGTCATACGTTTGGTTAAATATGTCACACATTTGGGTAACTTAGTCTGACGGTGCTCATGTCTGCTGTCTGAGGTTCGTCTGTGGCAGATGTTTGTTCTTTCTATTTGTCTCCTGTCGTCCACATTTTGTACATGAGTGATGTTTTGTGTATCTCGCTGCTTTAATACAGCTCACTGCTCCCACAAAGACCAGGAAACACACTACAGGGAGCTCTTGTTTGTCGTTGTGCGTCTGTTGCAAGGAAATGCGTTCAAAACTGGAAGACTATAGTTTATGATATGTGATAAATAATGAGTCTAATTTTGTGGTAATGTACGAGTTTTGTTTCATTAAGTAGCAGTGTAATTAATAAACATGTACATGAGGTATAATGCCATGTCCAAATAGAAGAAATGCCCTTTTTCAAATGCACTGAGACCTTTAAAACGACTAAAAAAAACAACTTAAAATGACGCGTTTGCTCTCTTTTCTGTATCGTAGCTTCAGCATGAATCTAATTCATTGTAAGTAATGTGTTTTCATCTTAAAAGAAGTTCAACATTTTAATGTGTTTTGTGTTTTATTACAAGATGACAGACAGATGTTCACTGTTTCTGATGGTCGGACAGTAAGTGGCTCAAAGGTTTAAGGCGGAGGCACAGAGATGGTTGGAGGAGTTTTGGTACTGAAGGACGGTATAAGAGATGTTTCTATTGTTCTGACATGTTGTGTGTTGTTCATGATAAACTACACTGCCTTTCTCATTTGTACATGCTGTTTTTGTGGTCAATCTAACACAAGAGTTGCTCTGTACAGATGTTTTTTGTCTGAGGTTGCTGACATTTGGTGGTGCTACATGAAAATGAACCCATACTTAGAAACTGAGTGTTTTGTTTCCTCTTAATGTTTCCTCTGTTTTACATGTTCACTTCTAACTGGATGTAAACATAATATGTTGTATCCCAGTTATTAAATGCTTTAAAAAAAATCCGACTTGACTGTTCCATTTTTTCGATCTATTTTCAGATATCTTCAGGATGATACACATTTACAAACCAACACTTTCATTTAGCTTCAAATAGTTTGACATTTACGAAATAATGCTTATTCACCTCGTGCAGTTGAAAGACAAATACATTTTGACCTTTGATGGTGCATTAGTGATGTTTTCCTATGGTTAAAAGAGCAACAGCCTTGGCAACGACGTAAATAGACAATTACAATCAGCCAGCATGGTGTGATGTTTTGGTTTTAATAATTGGTTAAAAAGGGACTTAATAGTGTTTTATAAACATCTGTCTCTGGATTCTTTGAGAGAGCTTGAAAGCGGGACGGCCCGCGGGAGGATGCAAGCCATGCTGAAGCCATGATACCTGGCTTAGCAGTAGACAGTTTTACTTAGCATAAAGCCTTAAAACACTTTGTCCAAAATATGGCTGACCAACACCTTAAAAGCTCAATTATAAACATATGATGTCTAATTGAATGAAGTAAAGGTTGTTTCCCCTTGTTTCCAGTCTTTATGCTAGCCTACAGTAAGCTAACAGACTCCTTTTTATGACTATATATGACTGACTGGAATCAAGATTTCCCTGTCAGCTATCTTTTAGCAAGAACGCCAATATATGCGAAAATGTCAAACTCTTTTATTTATTATACAAAAAATACTCAAACTTAAAATTATATCTCCTTTATGGTCTCTGCAGTTGCTAGGTAACAATGAATCTACACTAAAGACAAAGAAATATTGCACGTTGTTGTCTGATCCATTATTTTAAGAGATTTTCCCAAATCTGTCCGATCTAAGACCTGTGTGAAAGTATTACACCTTCTAACTACTACCACATGAGATTTGTTACCACTACAATCAAGTCAGACCTCATGGCATGACGACTCGCTTCAAAATGACTGAGAAGCAGAAAAACTGAAAAGAGGTAAGTCAAACTAAAAGAATTATGCAACAGGCAAGGAAGGCAACTGCTTGGGGCAGATGCCGTCTGCTGCTGAGAACGCTCTCTCCTCATTTTAAAAATTGAAAGAAGACGCTGGCGCTCAGAAAGAAAGGCTAGGTGGACACAGGGCCTTATAGCTGTGTAAAAATCTACATTTTACGCTGACAGTCACAGTAAAGGAAAATGAATGGTTTCATTGTTTTTTAATATCTTTATGTTGAATGAATAATACTGTTTACTTTAACAAGAAAAAAATAAGATCATTTGCAACATAATGGGGGTAAATGCTAGTTAGATGGGCCCCCTGTGAATTTTTGCCTCGGGCCCCAACAGACTCTAGAATCAGCACTGGAAGTACGAACAGCATTAGCCTCGAACTCAACCCTCGATTTATTGATTTAAAAGACTCACATGCTCTGAAATATGCTCTGGAGACCAATCACATCTCTAATAATATAATCCTAATATCTACACAGGCTGAAAAAACAAGGGCTTTAACTACAACGAGCGGTACATTTTGTCCTTTTCTCAACCCTTAATGAGGATGATACGCAGAAGACAGAAAAAACAATGTTTCCCATCGTTAGAAATAATGCTGATGTGTAACTTTTCAAGGACAGCTGCCCTTAAAAGCTCAATTATCTAAGAGCTCAATCACTCCTGCATGCAGTGTTCCTGCCATAATTGGCTTGGCGGTGCAATATTCATATGACTCAAAGGAGAGATTTTCAACCCCGCCCCCCTTTACTTTGATGTAAAGAATAAATCAACAAAAGCAATGTTCTGTATACTGTGTTCTATATACAGTGCAGTATGTAATATCGTGATGCCTTGTAGCACCTCTTCATAGGGGTTCTCTTTGATTGTCGCGGCCTCATGTTCACTTTTGAAATGGAAATATCCATAGACTAGAATGCACCTGCATATATTCAATGACAGCCACATTCATTAGCTTCTCATCCTTCAGGTTCTGTGGGGTTTCTTTCAACCGACAAAGGATGCCGTCCTCACACTCAGAGGAGACCTTAAGCACGATTTGATTAAAAGAAAGTGAGGCTGCAGTGTTGTGCAAGAGAGACCTCTGGTGCTACAACGCTGTGCTGCAAAGGAACTTTGAGCCTCAGTGTTCCAGCAACACCCACTAACATGAGGTGTAATGTTCCAGAAAGAAGAGACATGTTTTATAATGTTCAAGAATTAGTCGACTAACATGAACCTCTTGTCTTCTAGAATGAATCATTAGAATGACTTAGTGTTCTAGAATGACTAACTAAAATGACTTTTGGTAACACTTTATATTAAGGTGCTTGTAATAAGCATTAATAACAGTTAATAAGTCACTTATAAGACCTTATTAGATTCTTATTAAAACAAATAAGACTATATAAGTGTTAATATAGGCATAATTAACACATTTATTATGTCTTATAAGACACTTATAGGCTCTTATTAGAAATGTACTGACACTTTATATACCGTCAGAAACATTAATAAGATGTTTATTAACATTAATAAGACTTCATGAGTGTTAATTATACTATAAATTAATTTATAATTGGCTTGTAAGATACTAATTAACACAAAGAAACTTGTTTATAGTTATATCAACGTTATCAACGTTCATAAGATGTTTATTGACATTAATAAGACTTTATTAGGTTCATATTAATGCCTTATGAAGGTTAATAAATACTTTATTATACACTTATTAACAGCTCAGTAGGAACAGGGTCCAACTTTCAAATAAACGCAGAAACAAAAAGGAGGTCGGTTGATCTTTCACTCAAACAGTTTTTGAAAACAAATGCTACTATAAATACAAGTATTATCTTTAACGTTAACTGTTAACAATATTATGAAAACATTTGGTGTGTCATAGCTACCAACATATCTGATCAAATTCAGGGAAAAGCATGGTTGTTTTTAACCCATGTTACTGTAAATAAAGTGTTGAAGGTGGACAAACATCAGAAGACTAGGACACCTTGAGCCAAAGGTCTGAATACCAGTCAAGAGATGCACCCAGGAATACATTTTCAAACTTTGCATGTAAGGAACACAAATGCAGGTCAAGATTACAATATATAATTTACTAATGCAATTAACAACTTAATTAATAAAGTGTGCACATGAAGGGGCTCAATCCAGGTGTGTGTTTCTGTTTAATCTGTGCTCTATGAAGTAGCGAAGGAAGTTCTTCCTTAGAAGAAACCGTCTTCTTAATCCCACTTGATGTCTCAAAGGTTGGGCTCACTATCCAGTTAGCTGCTCACAGTCCTATGGTGAATGCGCTTGTTGATGGGTGGTTTTCTGGTAGTGATGAAGATGGTGGTGATAATAATGATGATGTTGTGGAAGAATATTATAATCATTGCTATAACCTTAAGTTTCTTATTAATTCATTTTTTATTATTTCTGACCAGAGAGCCTTTTTTTCACGCAAGATTTCTCCCGAAGCTTCCCGGTCTCTCACACACCCCTGAGACCGGGCCTCTTTCCCTCTTCTCTACCGTCAAAAGCCGTAAAAAGAGCAGAAATGAAATAAGAAAAAACAGCAAATTATACAAAAGAAAAAATTTATGATTTTATTGCAGGTTTTGTATGTAAATTTTGGCAACAAAGCAAATCAACTCTGTTGCTAGTCTTGTACAAGACTCTAATCACTATTTAACTAATAAGTTAGCATTTAAAGGGTTACAATCCTGAAAATAATTGAATGTTTGGTAGTTTTGAGCAAGTTGGAAGTTGTTGTAACTTCACAGCAGAAAAATATTAATAAAGTTGAGGAGGGCAAAAGGGTTAATGTTCCAGCAGTGGTGCTGTCTAACCTTGATATACCGTAGAAGAAGCTCGTCACGAGGCAGGATGCTGCTTTCCACTGTGGCGGCAAGAATCATGAAGAACTCCAAACTCTGTACACTTTCCTGTCAAAGTCAATTCAATTAGAATGATTACAGCCAAAACCAGCTTAAAATGCCGTCGGAAAAACATCAGTGATTAACATATAAGACGGACGAGGCAGCAAAGATATATTCCAATACAGTTTAATTCATGATACACCACCACAAAGCATTATCTCTCACTTAAAATAAAACGTGGTACTAAATATGTTTGTATTTATTGTATCAATATTTCAGCCCTTGTTTTCTTGCTGTGAATTTTCAGATTTGTTTGAATCTTATACACTTGTACGACGGAGGATTTGGGCCTCGTTAAATCTCGTAAATTTACAGCTTTATTCAGTTTAATCTCATTTTAAAGTTTTTTTTTTGCGTGGCCCTAATCCTCCATCGGACACACCTTCTCATAGACTGAAAGGGAAAGTCTGCAGTCGTATTTCTTGTGCAGGTCCAGGAGCTGACGGAGGTGAGACACCAGGGACTTGAGATTCTCCACCTCTTTGGAATCATAATTATCCTCCTTAAAAAGTACAAAATTAAAACAAAGGTCAGGGTAGGCTGTAGGCTGTGCAAGTAAGTGCAGTTACGGGGCCCTAGAACTACTACTACTCGACACGCTTCAAAGCCTCGATGTCAAACGTAACATCTCTAGTGAACTGTAACTTAGTGCTAACACAAACAAACCCGGGATAGTAGTAAGTGCTGCAATGTTACACAAGCAAAAATAAATTAAAGCTAAATACACAACTGTAATTAATGATGTGATTTGATATTAAATAAAGATTTAAGTGACAAGTGGTGATTAAGAGAAGAGCTTCTCACCCACTTTGAAGTCTTACTGGGCGCTGCTATATTTTGTGTCTGTGCTCAGTTCACACCAGTCTATGGTTCACACAGAGTGAAGGATTATAGGGGGATCTGCCAGCTAAAAATGTTGTTTCTCAGAGAGTATTACAAACAATTTACAGCTATATCTATTCTTTCTGTCTTTTGTAAATCTACACTGAGGACGGCATAACAAAGCATATGAATGTCAGCATCCTCCTGGTGATAGATGAGGTCGTCCTGAAGCATCAGATCAAGCAGCATGGCGTGAAGGACTGTTGGTAGCATATGGTAGCTATGCTCATAGGTCTGC